TATATATATATATAAGAGGAAGAATTCCTTTATTCTAAGAGCAAGTCTATTTGGACTTACTCTACTCAATAATTCATATTCTACATTAAATTTTAGCGATCTAACAATTGAATTTAAAGTTCTTAATGCATAGATCAAGTCTACAAATTTTTTAAAAATTTGAAAATTATTTGATACTTCGTTCTTTAATTCAAATCAACACATAAAATATTTTTATGATTATCTGTCAATTTGAATTAATGAAATGAAGTATCAAAAGATTTTCAAATTTTTAAAATTTTGCGAACTTGATTTATACATTACGAACTTTAAATTCAACGATTAGATTGTTTAAATTTGATGTTAAACATGAATTATTGAACGAAGTAAGTCTAGGTAGAGTTACTCTTAGAGTAAATAGATTCCTCCTCTTCCTCTCTCTCTCTCTCTATATATATATATATATATATATATATGTATGTATCTATCAAGTTGGGCTTGGACTTCCCTTTGTAGACAGAATGCTGCACAATCTTGAGTTTGGGCTCAACTTGGAAGAATTTAGTCCAAGGTTGGATCTGACATGGTGTTTTGGGTCCACCAATCATGAAAGGTAGATTGTGAAAGGTTCCTTCATAACCTAACTCCAAAGCAGCTCGAAAGTGGCAAGCATCTTCAAGTTTATAACGTTATTAATTGATGAGTGCCCTAGTTTATGCATCCAGACGATGCTGACCATATAGATCAAGAGGCTGAACTTTAATCACTTTAGTATTCTAGGGGTTAATGGTAATGGGTTGCTAATTAGGGTAGCATATTTGGAGGTACTCTACCATATTCAAGTAGGGCGACATTCATGTGCAATCATAGACAGGAATATCTACATCCTCTTCATCGATGGTCTTCTCCTCCATCATATATTCCATTTTTGAATCTTCCTTAAAGACAACACTTGATGTTTCTACATTCTCACTTGGTGGCACGGTAGAGGTGAAGTCCTCTGGCCTCTTGGGCCTGGTACCACAAAGGAAGTATCTGCATTCAATGGTATGCCATCAATTGCAAAACCTATAATAGACAATTGAACAACTTCATTAGCCAATCCATGGGTCTTTTTAATTGTTGGCAAGATTGCTTCTACTCTTACAATAGGTGCTCCAAACGATGCAAGTTGGATTGTTGGGTGACTTTAGAAAATGATTAATTTTCCAAAGTCTCAACCTTAAACACTTTATTTGGGTTTGACAAAGACTCTTTTCTACATTAAAAGCTTTTGTTTGAGTAGGATAAATACTCTCCCCAACAATAGAAATGCCTATTTATGTTGGTTAAGGACTCTAGTCAACAACATATGCTCCTCTACGTAGGATGGAGACTCTCCGAGAAGGGTGAGGGTGAATTGAGTGTTGTTGTTGCATTAGTAAAGAGATAAATTTCTTCTTTTAGCATTTTAACTTTAGAAACCAACTCATATTTCTTTCTTCATTTGTTCTTTTGCCTCTTTCTAAGACAGACACTTTGCATGCTTAAAGCTCTTCTCTTCTTCTTTCTTTGTCTTGGGCTCTAGAAGCCCACACATAAGGCATCTTTTTTTTTGGACCATTGAGGTTAGGGAGGCTTGGTTGTGGTTTGAGGTGCTGATAGGTATGATGGAGTGGGTTGAGGACGAGAAAGACAGAAGGAAAATGACAAGTTTCTTGAGCATGGGCTTAGTACCTGATTATGTCTTCACTACCCCTTCCTTCCTCTTCAAACTAGGAAGAAGGTGAGAGATCTCTGTTCTCTTTAGTGTCTTGCACTGTGTTTATTGATGAACCTTATTATGACCTTTAATTGAATTTGCTATTATATATTGTCATTGATATATATTATTGTTATTATACCTCGTTGTTGTGTGTTTGGCTATCTAATTATGTTTTATGCTATGAGAAAGAGTGAGATGTTTCTCACTCTCCATTTATTGTTGTATGTTTTGTGTGTATGTTGTTGTAAATAAGGATCACCATGTCCCATCTACACGTACTCTGAACTCACTATTCTTCCCTTGATTCAACTTCTCCATCTGACTCAATAAAAATGGTTTTATCAACTGACCCTTTCTAATCTCATCTACCAAGCTACTGGTCACTTTCAAGGTTCCCAATCTAATGCTCCTAGGAGTCAAGTCACACACTAAGCTAAGGTTTCTGAATTCCTTTAACAAATCAAACTCCTTAATCATCAAAGCGAATACTTGTAAGGATTTCCTACTCAAGGCATCAACCACTACATTGGCTTTACCAAGATGATAACTAAGCTCAGAATCATAGTCCTTAAGGAACTCTAACCACCTCCTTTGTCTTATGTTAAGCTCTTTTTAGTCAAATAGGTACTTAAGGCTCTTATGATCCTTAAAAGCCTTAAATCTCAAACCATTCAAATAATGCCTCCACAATTTCAACACAGCATACAATAGCTTGATCTAGGTCATGGGTCGGGTAATTCTGTTTGTAAACCTCCAACTACTTAGATGCATAAACTACTACCTTCCCCTTCTGATGGAGAACCATCTATAAAGAGTTCATACTTGAAGACTATTGAACCTTTAACTAGGTCCATGGTTAAGGAGGCTTAAAGAGACTTCTACAAAGGGTTCATACTTGTATTAAGGGTAACAAGTAGCAAATGTGTAGGTGAAGCTAGTAATTGGACCTTTAATGGACCTAGGCCAAATTTTACATATTAGGTTTATTTTTCTCCATTTAATCCAAGGAATTGATCTAGCTAGGTCTCACCATCATTTGGTGAACGTAACTAAACTAATTCAAAGATTTTTCATTAGATTAAATAAAGAAAAAAAAGACTTGGCCACCCACCCTTCTCCATGGTCGAGTTTAGTAGCTTCTCCAACACAACTTGCCACTTGGCTTGCCAAAGGAATAAGGTGACACTTGACACTCTATGATTGGCTTTTCTAGATCTAAGTGCTCCTACCTTTCCTCTACCTTGTCTAACTTGCACTACAAGCTTCTCCATCACTATATATAGGTTCCTTCACTTGTAAAACTCACTTTTGATGCATATATTCATATTTAGCCAAGAGTTTTCACTAGGGTCTCTCTCTTAGAAGTCTTAAATTCTCTCTTTGATTTGTTTCCAATTCTCTTATCCTCTAACTAAGAGTGTGGTGAGAGTTGAAGTGATTTATCTTCTACCTTGAAGTGGCACCACTTGAAGATTGTTCTTCACCTTTGAAGGTGAGTCTAGAGGTCTCTTCCTCTATTGGAGACCTTGAAGAAACAAAAGATCTAAGAAGAAACTTGAAGGAGAAACTTCAACAATTTGGTTCTTCCTTAAGGTTTCCATCACCTTTTACATAAGAACTCCTCTTAAACTCATCTTAGAAGTATCACAATACACTACAAAAGTCTCACTAGGGTCAGGTAACACAAGGATAGGTGTACTAGTTAATCTCTTCTTAAGCTTTTGGAAACTCTCCTTAAACCTAGAGTCCCAAACAAAAGGTTGGCTATTTT